TTGTCTGCCAGAATGTTTGTTTGCCGTCTGGAAATTCGACTACAGAACCTCTTCGAACGTTTCCTATAAATCCGATTTTTTTGCCACTGCTTTATCTGCCGCCTTTTGCGCTTCTTCGATCTGCATTCGAGTTGAAGGCTCTTTGCATCCAAGTCATCTCTTGAATGCAGCCTTCTTCTCAATGGCAGCCAGCTGTGCCTCCAGTCAGGACGTGCAACCCGTCTGAAACCGCAGCAATCGGCGGTAGCCTTGAGTAAGCCGCTCTTAAACACCTTCCATTCCGTTTCCATATCAGCAGTCATCATGGTGTCTGTTCACACCGTCGTGCAATGTTGCTTGGAACTTTTGACCTTATATTCGCAGAAAATGATGTTTCCTATTTGATTCTGCCGCCAGGACTTCGCGTGGTAGTAGGCACTTTTGCAAAGTGGTGAGTGTCGGTCGAAAGCTTTGCGCCTCTCTAAGCACAGCTACCCATTACAGAGCGTGGCAAGTCAGACGCTAGGATCATCAAATAAATCATTAGCTTCTGTGTACATACTTCCTTATGTGCGGTCTAGTGATGCATGCTTCGATGCTCGAAGGCGTTCGTTGCAGATGGTCGGTTGTTCGTACAAAAATGATACAACGTCATGCTATTGTTTCTGAGGTAAATTGAACAAGCGTTAAAACTATAATACTGAAGTATCGCTGGAGGATTGTCAAAATTCACATCATGGGATGAACATGTGTGCGGCACAGCAAAAGAAACAAAAGTTAGCAGACAGCCGAATAACGATAGGTAACATCTGACAGCTTCTGGACCTTGGAAAGTTAGAGTTAAAGGTGGAATAGTGGTCTATTAGTAAGGTTTTGTCCTTTCTGAAATGCTAAAGCAAGTAGAACGCGTTGAGTTGTTTCGAGACAAGCATCAATAAAGGCAACTGTGCAAAGAGTGCACGGTGTTGTTACGGAGGTTGTTTTCCACCCTTACACCTTAAGCCACTGCCAGCTCTGCCAGTTTAAATGCGAATCATTTAGCCGATGACCCACTAGAATTTGTGATGGTATTTATCGACCTACGAATTAGTTCAAAGTCGCACGAAAGTAATCCAAGGAAAACAATAGCAAAACTATACATATACGTTTGAAAAACTCATTTATAGCAAATCTAGCGATTTTTTGTGCTTGTAAGCTCCTCAGTCTTTTACATGAAAAACCGCTCTATAGTAGTTAGCCACCACGCGTCATGTCCGCACCAGGTAAAATCAGTTGGTAGCGTGACTCAAAATTATTTGATGGGATAGCTGTACCGGTTCCTCGTCAATACTAAGATACGCGTTTGGTAGAGTCGAAGAGTGTATGGCTTTTCGTTTTCCATATTACGGAGATCCATAATACAGATCAGTTCATATGATGTAGATGTGTTGAGCACCAGTTCATTGGGTAGGAAGAAGCTGCACACATGATGTGATACAATTTTCGCAGGTGAACTAGTGTTCTGCCACCCACAAAATTTTGGTGTGATAGTATCACCTGCGTACTATGAGTTACGAGTTATGCGTATGAGTCAAACACGACCAGTTTGGTTGTTGGAAAGAATGCTAAAAGGGAACGGTGACAAGCTTACGAAGTAATTGGCTAACCGTACTGAAAAAGTTTTTTACTTTCGAAGTTCCTTACTTACGCAATTGGAAACCTAAGACAAGCATAGTAAGTAATTGGCTCACCATACTGAATAAAAATTTGACTGACGGCAAATCCGTTCAACTTTCGCATCAGGCTGTGGTGAGGAACACTATTAAATGCTGACGTAAGGTCGAGAAAAGTCGACTTTTCGATACAGCTACCCTCATAGAGTTATTGACTCATTTAATACAGTTAAAGCTGATAAAATCATTTAATACAGTTACAGCTAGTACAGTTAAAGACATGCTAACTGCCATGAACCCAATTTGTCCGCATAAATACGTACGAGGGAATATGAAGTAAAAGACGTTCACTTAAAGTGTCATTCAGTTAGAAAGAACATAAATATGCTCTTAATTATAAATAGCCTTGAAGTGTTATAGTATATTTATGAGCTGTCCCAGCAAATGACT